GTTGACCGGTTCACTGTTCTGCGCTTCATGGCGACCGGTACACCGCCGGCATCGAGGCGCATACGAAATTTTCCGATGAATCAATATGTTCGTTGGCCGATAACGTTAGGAGTGAAGTAGTTGCAATTCAGAGATCACAGAAGTGTTGAGAATGTTGTCCTACACGTAGCAATTCCTCGCACCGGCAGAAGGCGTTCTGATTTACCCTTTGAAAGCTGTTCTGCAGGAATACTTGCAATTTCCCTACGAATATATTTAGTTCATGTTCCGATCGGGGATTACTGTTGTAAACGTTGACTTTCAAACACCCTCCGAAGAAGAAATCACAAAGAGTAAGATCAGGTGAACGTGCGGGCCAAATACTACTGCTGACAATTCTGTCCCTGAAGACACTGGACAGAGGCCACGTTGATACTGTATATGTGCAGTGTGGGCAGTAGCTGAGTCCTGCTGAAACCAGACATGCAGTATTTCTTCTTCTGATAACTCTGGAAGGAACTGCCCAAGAATGGGCTGTACACACAAGCCCAACAATCCTTCTTGCACTTACGGAACACCAGACGGCAAATTTAACTGGATGGAGCACCAAGTATGAAGGGGTAATCCCACAGACCTATACACTTACAGAGATTACGCATTAAATTTTCAAACACGTGTGGACCGACATTTGTCACCTCTAATAGACTACCTAAAGGTTATAAAAAGGTAAAGTTTTCCTTATGCTTAACTAATTAAGCACTACGCTTTGAGACGTGTAGGGGGCTGGAATCTTCCTACTATACATAAATTAAATTTTGTACCCATGATACATATGTAATGGCCGTCTTGTAGTGCACTCAATTTCATATGTCCCTTCTTACTACATGTTTCGGCAACATAGTGCCATCTTCAGGTTCGTTATTTACGCTAAGCTATTACATTGTTTGCCATCTTGTGTCTTTCATAAAATTATTTAGAAAGTACATTATTCGTCAACCATAATAAAATTTGTATATACTAAAACTTGTTAAGATTATTCATCTATATGTCTAAATTCAAACTCGCGTATAGTATGGTTCGTCCACATGGGAGTCCTTCCTTTTTGGCTGCGAGCAAAAAGGAAGGACACATCACAGACACAGTACATACAGAAACGACTCCCATAGTGGACGAACCATACTATACGCGAGTTTGAATTTAGACATATAGATGAATAATCTTAACAAGTTTTAGTATATACAAATTTTATTATGGTTGACGAATAATGTACTTTCTAAATAATTTTATGAAAGACACAAGATGGCAAACAATGTAATAGCTTAGCGTAAATAACGAACCTGAAGATGGCACTATGTTGCCGAAACATGTAGTAAGAAGCGACATATGAAATTGAGTGCACTAAAAGACGGCCATTACATATGTATCATGGATGAAAATCAGTGCAACAGGACGCTAAAATATAACATTATAAATTTTGTACAGCAGGATTGGCTGGGGTATTAAAATGTTTCCATACGTAAGCTGAAACAGCAATTTGGATTTAAATGTAGCTGCAAAAGACAGGCCGGTCACAATGGCGGTCTAAGGCATGAAGTGTCTTCGTCTGCTCAAATACTGGGATCGTGGGTTCGAATCCCACTCGAGGCATGGATGTCTGTGTGCGTTTATTCTGTGTTTATGCTGTCCTGTGTGCAGGTAGCGGCCTTGCGACGGGCTCATCCCCCGTCCAAGGAGTCCTACCGACTGTGAAAGAGCAAGAAACTGAAGAAAAAAAAAACTTCCAAAGTCCAAACTAATCGCTGCAGAACCATTGATAGTGAAAGACAGACAGAGAGAGAAAGACATTGTGATCGATGTCCCTAACACCATCAACTGCTGAAACAATTTCGCCGATTATGATATCAGTAATCCAGTCGGCCGTATGCATAGACAAGCTATACTAACTGAGATGATCTCGCTCAATTTATCTTGTCTGTTTGCATTCTGTCATTAATCACGAACCGTATCTAATTACATGAGGTCACAGCTAATGCTGTAAGCCTCCATGCCAGCCTGATACAGAATCTCAATCATGCGCGATCCTAGCTAAATTAAATAATATAGCTGTGTACAGAACCCCAACTTGACGAACTAACAATACAGCTACTCATGCGAAACGTGTCTAATATACAGGTCACGAGCTTCATGCTACTTGAATCTGAAGAATCTGTATAAACGTTCCAACTTCATCTAGTCAACGATATTGACCTTTTCAGGTATATGCCACAAGTTTTTAATTAAAAGTCCTTCAAATATATGTAAAAAATATAGCAATGCCATAAATATATTTATTGAGAATGATGATTTGATATCGGAGACGGTTCTATGTTTTGGTGCAACAAATATCCTCCATCTTCAGGGTCGAAAAGTAAGCCAAGCAAGAACCCAGCAGATGGAAGCTGCTTCTGACTGATTCTGCTTCTGCCTGCATCTGCTGGGTTCTTGCTTGGCTTTTTTTTTATTATTGCTAGTGGGGTGGGACTAAGTTCCTTGTACTGGGGCCACTTCTGACCTATTGTACCAGCCCCAGATGATAGGTGAGGGTGATGTTGGAGCAATTGGTGGAATGAAGATTGGCAGGAGAAACCGAAGTACTCGGAGAAAACCTGCCCCAGCACCACTTTGTCCACCACAAATCCCACCTGACCAGACCCCGGGATCGAACCCGGGCCGCCGCGATGGGAAGCCAGCGACTAACAGCTTGAGCTATGGCGCAGCCTCTTGCTTGGCTTACTCTTCGACCTTGAAGCACAGCAGATTTGTTCCTCCGAAAACGTTGACCCCACTTCAGGCTACACGGCGTCAAAACCCAAAATTTTTAAAAATATTTATGTTTACTCTTCTATTACATAAAAAGTAAAAACTGTTAAACAGGTTATGTCCTTAAGGCCATAATTGAGGATGTAAGCCCCAGGGCCCCAAAGCACACTTGGTAAACCTCTGTAAGAAGGAGAAAATAGCGTAAGTAGGGCAGGTTTGTCTAAGATGTAGCACGACTCGCAGAAGATCGCTGAGGTAAAAGTAAAAAAAAAAATAAAATTGTACCTGTGCTTAACTAATTAAGCACTACGCCATGAAGGCTTAAGGTGGAGTGGATATATAGATCCACATTTTCTTGTCTTCGACACTAGCTGGAGGTGAGTGGTCAGCTTCACTCCCCGGCCGCTTTATCCCTGGGGAAAGAGCCCCCGCTAGCCATTGGATTGGAGGTTGGGTGGAACTCAGAACCGATCTGGACGACGTGAAGAAGAGAAAATTCTTGACCCGCTGAGGTAGCAGCTACAAAATAGTACGTAACTACAGCAGCTGTTCATTAGGACATTAGGAAACGCTCTCATCGGAGGTCTCAGCCGATATAAGCCTAGGTCGGTTAAGAAACACAGAAATTAGTCAAGCGGCCAGAGACTATGCTGGCCAACGGTATACTGAGTAAGCAAGTTTAATCGGTTGGTGCAGAAATCGTTATTAGTCAAGGTAAGACTAGTCAAGGCCAAGAATCTTCAGCCAGCGCCATCGAACAGCCCGCACTCTACTCTTCGCAAGCCATCTCTATCACACCAGGTACGTCCAGGCCGAAGAACTTGGGAAACATATTGGCGACTACTGTAGGTAAACGTATGTGATTAGGTGAAATTAATAATAAAGCATACAGCCAACCCCGTGTCTTCAAATTATTACAGAACCCCGTTCGGAAGAGTCCATGGCAATGCAAATGTTATAGTATTAATAATTTAGATTGCACCCTCTCCTCAGTCCTCGAAACCAGACTCTCTTGAAAGGACCCTGCAGTTCGTAGTACTACCCCTTCTGACAGGTCAGTCGACTACTGGGGCGGAGAATAGTGGAGTGACCGTTATGGACAGTGAGATAGGATACAATGCTCAGCTACAAGAGTGGATGTAGCTCCGGTGAAGACGTACATGAGATAATACCAGTCCCTTATACAACTACAGTTGTCGGTGTCATCTTCACGGAGGTATGATCATGGCAGAACATAAATAATAACAATTTCTTTTGTTATATGAGAACAATCTGCAATGAGAGTCACTATTTCACGCATCTTTATCACTTCAGACATTTCTACACGCATTTCTTTATATACGCTTATGGACTGCTACATGAGACCCATCTTGTTCAGAATTTTCGAGAATACAGAAGCAACTAACACTGACCGATATAAAGAAGCCACTATAGTAGGCCGGTCTGCTTATACACATACAAAACTGGATAAAAATAAATTATGCCTCATATACAAATGAGAGAATGCCATGATGCACGGATAGTGCCAGCATTTAAGGTGTACGAAGAACAGAAACTTTCCGTATCCTACAAGTATTTACTATCAGCCCAAATAAAAATCAGAATTGGGACGTCAACTGATGCGACGGAGAGGCCAGTAGGAACAGTATTATACTGAAGTTTTACACTTCTAATGTGTTACGAGTTTCAGCGCCTTCATAGATAATGTTTAAATAATTAAATATGAAATTTCTATATTGTAAGTGTCGACCATCTTAACTCCCGTATTTTGATGGCGCTAATAATACCTGATGAATAATATAAATTATGTCGGTCACGGTAACCGAGCGGTCTCAACAATGCACTTGTTTTCTCTCACTCGGAAGCCGATATCGTGGGTTCTAATCCCACTCTGGGCATGGGTGTTTATGTGTTGGTGTTTGTGTACAGGTAGAAGCCTTGCGACGAGCTGATCACCCGCCCAAGGCCAAGGCCCAAATTGGGGCTGTAATGCCAAAGGAAAAAGTATAAATTATGGCGCCCCTCGTTATGTAGTTTTCTCCGTCCTGTTTACATCTGACTTTAGAACCCAAAGTTCTCCTTAACACTTCTCAAACATCCTCGTTCCGTGTTCATTTACTAGAATGAGAGGTTAAGCTCCAGTTTTACACACGTTACTTAAATTTAATTACGTCTGTACCAGCGACATGCTCAACAAAACAAAGTAGAACTGTCAGATTTACCTTGAGTGTGCTGAAGAAACTGTGATGCGCCTTGTGCGTGACTTGGGGTACGTTGGATGTGGAATGAGCTTGTGTTGTCGAGGTCTGAGCCAACGCTGACCGTTCACCGACCTTGTCATGGTCATCGCGTTGGGATGTACTTAAATCTGAAGCGGACTTGGAGAGATGTCTTCCGATTAAGCCACCTTGTTGAGGATCCCCTGAGCCCACATTTAGTCGGGACCTTTCCGCTGGAAGCAGAGAGAAACAGCGGTAACATACAGTACAGTTGCAACAACTCCGTTCCTGCTGCTCCCGTCGAAGTGCTGCACTCATATTGAGAGTGTCGCCGTTGCGACGCTCGGACGTCGGATTGAGCCATGGAGGAGGAGACACTTTAGTGAATTACGCAGACTGGAGTAGACTCGGCGCTTCCCCCCCCCCCCATCTCCCGCTATTCCACTTCACTTACACAACGAACACTCTACTCGGTGACTTATTGACTATGCGAATAACGACCTCTGTTGAAGAGTTCTATCTTCTGAGACATAACTCCGTGTAGTCCGTTAGAAGTCAACAGATATTTCGGAAGAACATGTAGCTTCCATCTTCAGGGTCGAGGATTAACCCAAAGAAGAAACCAGGGCCTTGACTGCAACCTGCTTTCACGCTGGTTTCTTCGACTTCAATATGGTGACGAAACACTACTCTGAAATGTCCGGTTGACTTTCAACGGACTAAACGCATTATATCCCGGAAGACAGAACTCTTTAAGAATTACCGCTACCATAATCTGAAATACTGCGTCGATCTATATTATTTAGCAAATAATTCTTTCAAAAACTAAAGCAGGAGACAAAGTAAGATCCTCCGAGAAATTCAGAAAAAGTTTTCGATAACGAAACCCAGGAAAAAATTATTAAATATGCTTCCGTTTGCACAGATTAGACTATCTTACGATTTTGGATTCAAATCATTTTTCAACAAGGCCTTGGCAACATATACAGAAATATTTTAAATTGATTCTGACATACTTATTTCAGATCTGTACACAAAACTGTTCCACCACGTCACAGTACATAAGTACCAGGTTTAGAACAAAACCAGGGGGTACTTTCATATCTGTAGTTTTTCTTAGATTTTGTATAAGTTTTATCGACCGTAGTGTGAGAAAAACATAAATATTCATAAACATAAACGTTCATTTCCATTTAAATAACAATATTATTTAAAATTGTTCTAAACTCCGTTTTGAGAAAACGAGAACAAAAATTCGGGTAAATACTAAGTATGTATAGAAGTATTCTTCTTGGAATTTGCACTGCGAATTTCCAGATAGTTGTTCTAAACATTGTATAATATTGAGCCATATTTGCGCAAAGCAAAAACAGTGTAGCCATAGAAACAGCGGTTGCTAGGGAACGATTCTGCAAACACGCCCATTGCTAGGCAATGACTCAGTAGCCGTTAGGTGATCGCCACAACAATCACGTAATAATGGAAACTATGACTTTGACGCTGACTTACAGGAGAGTCCCCGTGTGGAAGAGGTTTCGAATACCTCCACCGTATGCCTACGAGTCGTAGGAAGCGAACAAAATGGAACAGAGTGCCTTGGAGCACTACTGGGCCACCCTGTTCCTGGGGGATATAAATACGGTGACCTGGTCCTCCAGGTTGGGGGAGTCTTGAATCTGAAACAGTAAAATATGGTCATGAGTCCCGCAGGACTCGGACCAGAGAATGACTGTGCTGGCGAAGGCCAGCAGTAGTTGTAAACGGCAGACTCGTCCTCTCGCCCCACACCAACAAACCCGCAACTGTCTGATAGTAACAAAAATCTGGTCTTGGGCCCCGATGGGGCTCGACAACAAGACAAACTGGCTGACTGGCCGTCGGTCGTAACATAACGTTGACTTTGACATTGATTGCAGGAGAGTCCTGAGACGGCAGTTAGAAGAGAAGGAGATTGGTGTGAGACGGTCGCCAGCCTGCAAGGAGGTAAGCCTGGGAAAGGAGGAACATCCACTATTGGACGAAGTTATCAAGCAGAATAGTGAAGACCGTGACTGAGCATACTAGTCTTTGTGTGACAGTGATTTGTAAAGTGAAGTCACGAGTGCCCAATAGATCAGATTATCAATCCAAACCCTATCTATAGTCACTTAATCAGCTGACAATATTGATATTTTAAAATGTACTTATTTCAGTTGTCAAGTGCGGATATTATTACGGATTTCCATGACTCCCCAATGTCGCTTTTCAATTTTAAATACTTTAAGTGACAATGAAAGGTAAAAGTTGCCCCTGCGCTTAAATATTTTAACACCACGCCATGAAGACGTATGGGGGAGTGCACGTATAGCTCCATCATTACTAACCTCTACATTAGATGGAGGTGAGTGATCAGCTTCACTCAGCGACCACTGCACCACCGGGGAAAAGCCCCCAGTGCTAATTGGATAAAAGGCTGGGTGGACTCCAGGGCCGGACTGGACGATATGACAAGAGAAAAATCTCTTGCTCTTGAAAATTGCAGTGCCTGCAAAACATGGTTCTCAGCACCACTGAGAATTTTCCAAGTTGCACACAGGTTCGCGATTTGCACATGGCTTTCAAACACCCGTATATACATGATATGATAAAATTATGCAGGCAACAAGCAGAAGTCGTACAAAGTCATGAAAATCCAAATGTTCGCAATATTGGAGTAGGCGCAGCCCGACACAGGAAATATAATAGGCTTAAACTTGGCGGGGGTCAAGCATACGATCATTTCAAATGACTAGATTGTCATTGTAGAGGTTACTACTGTAACCGCACCATGCAGGAACCTCAGCAATGTTGTTGATTTACACTCTTAATTATAATGTACTACAAGTAAACGGACTGTATTACTGTTAACAAAAGATGATACAGAATTCCAGCAGACGCCAAGGACGACATCTGGTCTTTCTGAGGGACAAGCAAGCTGCAGGTCACTTGAAAACCCAGAACGGAGCAGGAAGTATCCCGCTGCGTTTTCTGGGAATTTCAATGCTTAACTTCGACGGGGCGAGTCTTTGAAAATTTGAGACTTGACAGATATGAGTCGCAATAATTTTCGAAGGGGCGTACCGTGCGATCGTTAGCGTACCTCCATTTATTTGAGAACTGTCAGAAGGACTGTCTCGTACTTAGGCCCAAATTAACATGGGTCTTGTTAGGGATTCGCTGAAGGTAAATGAGAGAAACACCCAAATTTTAGGTTCAGCCAATCAGCAAAATTTCAGAGGAGAGGAAACCGGGCGTTCCCGGAACCGTCAAGACTTCTGCTTCTCCGGAGGAGTCAGTCGTCTTAGGGAGTAATAGGAATCAGTCATCTTAGGGAGTAACAGGAGTCAGTGGCCTAAAAGGAGTAACAGGAGTCAGTCATCTAAAGAGAGTAACTGGAGTAGCTTCGCGACATTCGGACCTTTCGGACGTTAAATCGGTGTCGGTCAAGTCCGGTGCACAAATTCAAAGTGCTACAGCCTTGTAATGTGCAATTCTAGTTCACATCTACAATAAAGAGCAACAGTGTTGGTGAAGTGTGTGTTTTCAGTGTTCTCTCTCTCCTTGTGTGAGCAAGGCCCAGAAGTCGCCCTGAGACAGAATCTTGTCCTACCGTCTGAGCAGTCGAAACCCCAAACGTCCGCCTATCCACATCCTCCCTTTGTTTTCCCCGTTCCAAATTCGTGGATTTCACCCAAGTCCACTGGCGCCCATACAAATTCAAATTCAGAGCAATCCCACACCCTACCCTGAACCAGACAGCAACAAGGAAGCGGCGGATGAAAGTGCAGACCAACATAAGGGCACCAAGAGGGCAGTTATAAGTGACGACCAACTTGGGCTTGAAGCCTCACTGAGTAGGTCAGTTATACTAGTACTACAGATAGGGCAAGATCTGCTATGCTGAGCCTGAACTGACAGAGGCCTTGCATATATTGCATAAACATTTAATAACATGTAAACTGTAAATGCTCTATGATTCTGACACTCTACAATTTAACAACAGACATATTACTGCTGATAATGACTCTGACAAACGACAGATCCATCCTCTCGTCAGACAGGGCACCCAACGAAGACAAGACAGTAACGGTCAAAAGGAATCGAACAGCTGGTTATGAGCCCCAGATGGTGCTCGACACCAAGACAGACAGGCAGACTGACTGACCGCCAGTCGAATTTTGTGACTTTGATTTTTACTTTGACTTACTTCTGCCAGGAATCGAAACCCAGCCGTACAGCTCGTGGCCCGTATCTATATCGACTGAGCTACCCCAGCTTCTAAATACTTTAGGTAAAATTGAAATTGTAATAAGCCTTTTTCAGCTGAAATATTTAAATCGTTTCAAATGTTTTTAACTACATTTCGTTGAGAATAATATTTTTGTACTTTCATCACAAAGTATACATAGGACTATAAAACATTTAGATGTTAAATTTAACCAACCTGTTACAATGAGACTTCTACCTTTATTCCAAATCATTCTTGCAGTTTGCGTCGTATAGGAAATGCACCGAAGAAATTGTGAAATATTTTCCTTTCCATGTTTGATGTTTTCTTGCGAAACCGTTGCCATAATAATCACATACGTAATTCTGGATAATTACTAAGGCCTACTGGTACAAGGATTTCATGGAGTTTTAGTTTCGCTTACTCTTGATGTTACGTTAATTTATTTCAGAACTTCTTTATTGTATACTGTGAACACGCACTTCTAGGATATAGGTACAGTTTTAATTCTATGCACGTCGAAAATCCAATATATCGGAGAACAAAATATTACCATTAATACGTACTATCTTCTTTTCGAAATTGTTCTACTGAACTTAAAACACGAACCTGAGTGATCTACATGTTATATTTTACTTTCAATAGTCGTTTCGTACGATTTCCCTTGAATATGTTAACAAGTGGTGTGGAATATATACTGGGCTGAATGATTCCTAACATAGCCACATAACCTTTCTCAGTCTTTATCTGAATAGATAGCACGCCGAGATTATCGCTATCTCCTATTTACTATAAGAATATATGTCATTATCCGGTCTATAAAACAGAGACTACCGGCCGTGGGGATTCGTTGCGCTGACCACGCGACACACTCTATCCGCAAAAGCTGGCACTAACTTCGCCGACAAGCGGCGGTCGCTCGGTCGGTATAGTTCGCTTGCGGACTAGAACCACGGAGTTTAGTTTTAGTTTAATACATGTCATTAT